GTGATTATGAGTATAATGTTGGTTTTGTTGTAACTATTATAAATTTTTTATTGATATTACTGTTATGAGTATTATGAATATTATTATTTTTCCATTATTATTATTATTATTGTGATTATTATTGTCATTGTTATTATTATTATTGTTATTGTTATTGTTATTATTATTATTATTATTATTATTATTATTATTATTATTATTATTATTATTATTATTATTATTATTATTATTGTTGTTGTTATTGTTATTATTATTATTATTATTATTATTATTATTATTATTATTATTATTATTATTATTATTATTATTATTATTATTAATAATGAGGTTATTGTTAATATTAGTATTATTATTGTTTTTGTTGTTATTGTTGTTGTCATTGAACAATCCAGCAACAACAACAGCAGCAATAACAATGATAATACTAATATTAACAATAACCTCATTATTATCATTATCATTATCATTACTATCATTATCATTACTATCATTATCATTATTATCATTATCATCATTATCACTATTATCACTATTATTATAATCATTATTATTATCATTATCATTATCATTATTATATTATTATTATTATTATTATTATTATTATTATTATTATTATTATTATTAATTATCACCATCACTACTACTATTATTACTATTACTGGTACTATTACAATTGCTATCATTATTACTATCATTATTGTTATTATTATTATTATTATTATCGTTATTGTTATTGTTATTGTTATTATTATTGTTATTATTATTATTATTAATTACTATTATTATTATTATGATTATTATTATTTTAATTCTTATTATTATAATTCTTATTATTATAATTATGATGATGATGATGATGATGATGATGATGATGATGATGATGATGATGATGATGATGATGATGATGATGATGATGATGATGATGATGATAATAATAATGATATGAATAATAATGATGATAATAATAATGATAATGATAATATAATAATAATAATAATAAATAATAATAATAATATAATAATAATTATAATAATTAATTATTATTATTATTATTATTATTATTATTATTATTGTTAATATCATTGTTATTATTTTTATTATTATTATTATTATTATTGTTATTATTATTATTATTATTATTATTATTGTTATTATTATCACTATTATCATTATTTTGTTGTTGTTATTGTTGTTATTATTATTATTATTATTATTATTATTTATTATTATTATTATTATTATTATTATTATTATTGCTGCCATTATTGCTATTGTTATTGTTGCAATCTCAGGAAAGATTTATGGAATATGCACATCAGTTAGGTTAGATAGGCCTGATAAGCTACTCCTTGGTGACTTTTGGAGCTATCTGTCTGAACAAAGCTAACCAATTGGATCTGGGTGACGGAAAACATCTTGTGAAAAAAAATGGGCTGATGGGCCGGTGATGGAAATATCTTAGTCATGGGAAATTGTTGTGGAGGGTTGGGTGTTAAGGATGTCTCTTTATGACAGGATTGATGCTGAGGGAAACGTCTCATCTTGATACAATTTGGATGAGGGGTGGATGACAGGATCTTTTGGTTATGGGAAATTGTTGCCAAGTATTGGAATAAGGAAACCTCATTTCATTATTTAGGTCAATATTTGAAGAGGAAAAAATTAGTCCAGCACTGTAGAGGATAGAGTATCTTAATTTAATTTTTTTTTCTTGGAGAGTACCATCCATGGGCCAAACCTGAGAGAGGAACGTCTCCAGGGAGGACACTGTGTCCACGCACAAGAACTTACTCCTGCTCGCCGTTATCGGCGGTGCAAAGTTTGTTATGCTCGGGGTGTCCGAAAGGACACCCGCACAATGTGCAGCCATTGTAAAGTGGCTTTGTGCCAATACGGTTGTTTTCAGGTTTACCACACCCAGGAGACTTATACATAAGTGTAGTACCCCTGAAATCCTCTGCAGTGTATAAATGTATATGGTTTACTGCGTGAGAATAAATACAGAAAAGAAAGAATACTTTGTTTAACCTTTAATAGCTTGATGTTACTTGCATTTCACAGGCTGTAGATGAGGGAGGGGGGAGATATGCAGTATTGTCAACCAATACTTATGATTTTCCTGTAACAAACACATTTTTCTTTTTAGATTTAATTTTACAAAAATTTAGGCAAAATACTACGAGTAACACAATGTTACCTGTATTGCGCAAAGTAAACTATCATGAGAGATAATATGGTAACTGCCAACAATAAAATCTATTACCATCTATTATACAACTTAACAAAGAACAAAAGTTTGTATGTATGTATAAAAATGTGTGTGTAAAACTATAAGATTATATAAAGCAGAATATACATATATAATGGGGATGGCTGGATGGATGTATAATATGAAATATATATGTGCCGTATTTCCCTTGAGAACTTAGCTATGTGTTATTTATATATAGGCTGTTGATATATAGTTGAAGGTAAAATCAGTAATTGAGATGGGTGTCCCGACAGGTGGGACTGAACAAAGACGGTTGGAGAAATAATGGAAGAGGAGCTGTCGCCAAGATGCACCAGTGTCCCTACTGTCTTTATTCTACTGATAGGAAAGATCATTTGACAAAGCATGTGCGAACACACACAGGAGAGAAACCGTATAGTTGCCCTCACTGTCCTTATCGTTCAGGGACAAAGAATACTCTAAACACACACATCCGTGTACATACTGGAGAAAAACCTTATTCTTGTTCCTATTGTCCTTACCGTGCTTCTCACAGGTATGCACTGCAGTTTCATATGAAGCATCATACTTAGTTTTTTATAATACTATAAACTTGACTGTGATCTAGAATATATAGTTCATTTATTTTTGTTGTTAGTCTTATAGATGGAATATAAAAAAGTTTTTGAGGAAGTAACTCATGAAGTACCTTGTGCACTGAAAAGTTTGATTGTATACCCCATTTGGAAGAGGATGTTTATATGTAAATATATGTATATTTCCAATTCATTATATGTGGAAAAAACTGACAGGTTGTTTAATATTTCATTTCATGCTTTTTGAAGTGGATAATGTGGATACTGATACATAACACCTGTTCATCAAATGTTTTTCAACATACTACATATTTATAGAATAGTCTTTTTATCATGTTCAGGACACAAATAATCATAAATCCAACCTGAATGTACTCAATTGAGGATAATGTTTTTGTTTTTATCCTAATGCATTTTGTAGCACTTCATTTCAGATGGTCTTGTTTAACCTACTAGCGCTGGTATATTTTGAATCCGAAAATAATAGTTTCCAGGTGGCTACAAAATTGGTGTGCCCGGCTGGCCCGAAATCTGCCCGCATGCTGGTTGCGTCTCGCGACGGAATTGGAGCGCAAGCTCCAATCCAACTTGTCACTGGTGGGACGCCCAGCAATGTTTATTGTTCTGGGTGTTTCATATGTGGGAAACCTGTGGTAAATGGGTTAAGGGGGCCATCTGGTCATTTTTTGGTGTTTTTCACCCATCTTGCCAAAATTGAGTTCAATGCATTTCCTTGGAGTTCCAGGCCCCCCAGTTCTCTCCTTTTCAATGTGAACCGAAATATTTTTTTCACATTACCTCAGAAAATCGACATTTGTGACGTAATGATTAGAGATAATTAAAGAATTACATTATTTTCTGAAAGTTAATTAAATTTCACATAAGATGAGACCAACTTTCGTTTTTTATTTATTTTAAAAACCTGGCAGGCATAAGAAAAACGATAAAGAAATTTTTCATACAAATAATTGAACATGATGTTCTGTTCATATGGAGTATTTTCTTTTCTTTGTTTTCACCATACATAGATTGATGTATGAGCTAAATATTTCGAAATGCAACCCCCCCCCCCCCCAAATTGGGAGTAGGATTGCCAAATGATCCGGAACACCACCAAGATTTTATGGAATATTAGTTAGGTTAAGACACAGCTCAGGTAAAAATTTTATTAAAACCTGTAAAAAAAAAAAAGAAAAAATACTGGATCCAAACCATGGTCCACATCACCATCAAAGTGCAATTGGCGTCTAAGTTAGGTTAAAAGTCACCTTTGTAAAAAATCTCATTAAAACGTGTTAATAACTTTTAGAAATATCAGCAAACAAACATAAAACAACAAACAATTAGCAACTTACTAACTAACTAACAAACAAACAAATGGAAGTAACAATATAAATACACAGAAATGATCTATATATCCTTACATATCTTATACATATTATTACACTGCCCTGTACTTGCATATTGTCATTTCATGAGCGTTATATTGAAAATTGGCTATTTCGCTCCGTAGAGTTAAACACCTCTGAAAAGACTTGTGAGGCATGGACTGATGTCACCTTGTTAAGTTCAAAACAGGAAGCGTGTGATACCCGTCCGGCTGGAGAACAGTAATTTTTTTGGCTAGTATTATATATTGTAAAACCCCATTAGAGCAACAGTAAAGGTGAATAATAGATTATTATATATACAAGTATTTTGTACAGGAATTGTTTTGTAAAATGTTAAAAAAATGAAAAGGAAAAAAGATAATCAATTATTATATCATATACAAGTATTTTGTACTGGAATTGTTTTGTAAAATGTTAAGAAAATGAAAAAGAAAAAAAATCGCGATGATTGGGTCCTACACATTTTTACGCATAGCACACGCATTTTCATTCCAATTTTAACGTATTATGGCTCATTTTGTAGCAGAATAGTAGATCTATTACATGCTGAAATAAGGATTTGCAAAATTTTCATGTGCTTCTTAAAAAAGTGACATTTTCAAAATCCCATTTTAATGTGTTGAAGTAGTCTCCTTTGTAAAATGTACACACACACACACACAAAAAAGACTAACTTGTAAAAATTGGCTTCTGCATATTATAGAAAGATTGTTCTATTCAGAAATTAAATCAGAATGGCTGTATGCTTTCTTCTGGATTTTAGAAAAAAAAAAAGGTCAATGTAGGCCTATAGACACCTAAAACTACTGCCACCCTTCTATACTATACTTAAGATTTTGAGAAAGAGTTATGTGCTGGCAATATCCGCAAGACTTCGGATTGCTGGTAAATGATATAGGATTATGGTGTAGGAAGACTACTCTTATACCTTGTTTTGTTAATACCAAAATGATTATGAAAAGAAAACGGAAAATGTTGATATCTCGAAACACTACCTTGGGGGGGGGGGGGGCAAATCCTCATGTGTGCAAATTATACCCAAAATTAACATTATGGCTCATTTTGTAGAAAAAATGAAATATCTACAACTTTCTCTAATGTGTTTTTCTTCCAATTTTTGCCTGTGCTTCTTGCAAAAGTCACAAATGTAAGAAAAATTAAACTTTTTTGATTTTAGTGAAGTCGCGTGAATTCACTCCCCCCCCCCAAAAAAAAAAAGGAATTAAAAAAAAAAAAATTAAAACGGAACGAGCAGGTTGTAGTTATAGGATAGTTCTGTCCAAAAATCAAATAGAATTTAATGTTTTATCGTTTTTGAAGATGTGAGTTTGCATTAAAAAAAAGCAAGATTTTATTTTATTTTATTTTTTATTTATTTTTTTTTATTACTGTTAGGGCAATTTTGAAAAAAAATCTACCACAGTGTTCAGGCTAGGGTCTAAATAAAAGGGTGTGAGTTTCATCCAAATCAGTAAGAAAGATCGAAAAAAAAAGAAGAAAAAAGATGGTCCCCTTAATACTGTACTTTACATTGAAAGTAGTCTTCACGATTTTGTGGAAGAGGGGTTAGATAGATTAAATCAAATGTATGTATGAGAGTGTGTGAATGTGAGAATTTTTGTTTGCTCTTGGGAATTTTTGAGTATTAGTCATACCTCTTACCTTTTGCAACAGATATGTTACCTTTAATTTATTCCAAGAATGTTGTGAATATTCAAATTAGAAATACAATGCTACATAGAAGTGTATGAATCACACATTTACATGTATGTATATAGGATGTATATAAGATCTTTTGATACATTTGTTTTGAGATAGAATCATGAATGGAGATGTAAGCTGTTTTGTAAAATGTATAAGACAGTCTGGTTATTATTTTGTTTTATTAAAAATTTCTGTAAAATAGTACGAAAGCTCCTGGTGGTCTCTCTTGTGGTATTTGTCCAGGGATATACACTGTTTTGTGATTAATTTTTGTGACCAGTTGGTTTTGGATGCGTTGTCGTAGGTTACACTCCTCGGTATATCAGTTTTTATAAAAGTAAAAAGTAGTGTTGGTACCTTTGAACTCTACTTACTTTGTTTTTTACTTTTAAATGCTTGAGACACATTTGATCTCAGTCACTTGTTTCTGGTTTTCTTTTGGTGAATTTCTTGTTTTTTGTGTATAATTGAATTTTACTATACTTTTTTCCTTTTTCTCTAAGGAAAAGCTATTGAAAGTAATTTAGCAAATTTAAAAATAAGAGGAAATATGTTTGAGAATGCATTCCACATTTTTGGTGGATGGTGGCTAGGGGAATGGGAAGGAAGTGGTCTTTGTAAAATTGGGTTGAAGAATTAAATGGCCTTTATATTCTCGTGATTTTATCGTTGTATGGTTCTTTTTTCTATGAGTATTTGTGCGTACTTGCTCATTTTTTTTCTTTTTTTCAAAAATTACTATTTAGTGTTCATGGATGATATTTCCACTGTTTATTCTTTCAGAAAATGCTACTTGACTTCTCTTCTTTGGATTTATGATCATTTGTATTTGACAGAGTTTAGTCTATGTTTGATGGTGGATGGTAGTGACAGTTATCAATCTTTTTAGAATGTACAGTTACTAGAAATCATGAAAATTGTACTTCATGAAAATTCAACTTTGCAAAATGTATTGAATGAAATGATACAAATTAAATATTTTTAAGGCTTTTATTCTATATTATTTTGATGTGAAATGCTTTCATTTTGCAGAGTTCTTTTTTTATAGTGGGAAAAATGTCTTATGCATAATTTATTATGTGTGATTTTCATCATAATGAATATTTTTTTGGTGATAACAGTAATTAAGATAGGCGTTCCTGACAGGTGGGACTGTTCAGTGATGGTTCGCGGAATAGCGGGAGACGGGCTGGCGGCAAGGTGCATCAGTGTCCCTACTGTCCGTATTCCACAGTTAGGAAAGACCACATGCCCAAACACATTCGTACCCATACTGGAGAGAAACCTTTTACTTGCCCCTATTGTACTTATAGAGCTGCATCTAAGGATAACATGAGACAGCACATCCGCACGCACACTGGCTTGAATCCTTACACCTGTAGGTTGTGTCATTTTCGCACAAACAGTAAAGATTTACTGAATAACCACATCCGGATTCACACGGGAGAGAAACCGTTCATGTAGTGAGCTACCAGCTAGTATTGTAAGAAAATAAAGGTACTGTGTAAAAAGAGTACTAGTTATTATTGTAATTATTATTATTATTGTTATTATTGTTGTTATTATTATTATTATTATTATTATTATTATTATTATT